AGTTTATCTTCCCTGGAAGTTGACTGTTGCTTTCCATCTCCACCCTCCCAATTCTATGGTCTGAGGGTGGCTTGGCTAAGGCTTCTTGTTGACCTTGATGGCACCTAAATACTCTCTCTCACCTGAGGCCCTTTCGTACATCTTATCCCAACTGGAGGACAGCATATTCCATTTCTGTAGCTTTGGCTTGGCCTGGGCAACCTCAGACCCACACTATGAAAGATGCCAAGCTCTTCTTCCTCTGCTGAGGTGTCATGGAAGAACAAAAGGGCATTTACTTAAAAAGTTTTTTTTTTTTCAGACTCTCCCTAAACTTACCTACTCATCTGGTGGTTCACTTCTCTCAGATTCTAGGATATTAATGAAGAATCCTTGGTATTTTTTGTTGGTTCACCTTCTCAGTGTTACTTTGGGGAATGGAGGTAGGAGGTGTGTTACTTTCTTCTGCTTATCATATTTAAGGGTTTATATTTAAAAGATTTATTTGGTTAGAATTGGTAAGTTTAGAGCAGTGTTTTTGTTTTGACTTCCGTTCATTTTATTAGTGGAGATACAGTGGGGGATTCTGTGATAGCTTCACTTTTGTTGTCCAATGCCACCTTTGCCTTTCTGTACCTCTTCCCTCAGATGTCTTCCTCTGGGCAAGATTCTGGCAGCCCTAGCCCCCAGCACTTTCAGCTCCCTGGGATGACACAGGGTCCACAGAAGTAGGCCTCAGCACAGTGGGTGTCTTGGAGTCAGCAGAGAGCATTTCACAGGGTAGCAATAGAGGGACCACATAGGATTCACAGGAAAGTGTCCTGGGCAGAAGCGCAGCACTAGCCAAGGCATGGAAGTAGGAGAACATAGGAGCAAAAATTAGGGAACGGGGGAGTCCAGCTGGAGGAGCTGAAAAAGTAGTAGAGAAGCTGGCGAGTGGGCAGGTAGGTGTGGTGCATGCAGACTGGTCGGGGGACTGCCCTGTGTGTGACCAAATGCTTGTGTCTAGAATCTCAAGGAATCCTCTGGTGTTCAGGTCCTTCCAGGTCTCTTTTCCCATCCTCAGCCCCTCCCAGGGAAGCTTGTCTGCTGTTCCACTCCACTGCCTCCTTGTCTTGTTGAGTCCCAAGGTACTCCTGCTGTCTTCTCTACAGCCAGAGGGAAGGCCTCAGCCATGGCCACACCAGCATTCTCTAACATAAGCCTTTCACTCATGGGCCACCAGTGGACTCTGGTCACATAGCCATGCGAAAACACAAACGCAGTGCTCAGCTGCACGCCATCACCACAACTTGCGCACAACAGCAGTGGCACTTGCTATTGTGGACATTGGTTGCACACAGCCCCATAGTCTGGCTGGGGCCATTGCCTCAAAAATCTCCTGAGAACCTGCCCTGCCCCCTGGTGGCCACTCCCAAGCTACTACCCCACAAGAACTATCCATCTCCTTTTTGGCCTGGTCCTTGCCCAAAGAAGCCTCCCCTCAAAGTGACCTGTAAGACCAAGAACTCTCAGATATCCTACAGACGAGTCTGCCCACCCAGACTGATGCAGTTAGCAAGACCTTCTCAGGGAGAGTGATCACCTGTCCCGATTTTCCTGGAACAGAAGGATTTCCCAAGATTTGAGGTATTTAGTGCTTATAACTGAAAAAGTCCCAGGCAAACTAGGACCAGTGATCTTGTCCCTTACACGCACGTCCTTCAGATGAGTCTCCTGTCTGGACCCATCAACCGACCCCATAGACTGATCCTTTCAAACAAGATCCTTTGCAAAGCATGTCCCACACCAGCCCTCCTCAGGCTGATCCTGTCATACAGGTCTACCAGACCCACTCACCTTTGGGTTAGCCTTCCTCATCATAGTGACAATAAAGCCTAGCCTATTTCTTTCCTCAGACCTCATCTCTTTCCCCTCCAGAAGAGTGGGGAGCCTGGGAGGAATTGTGCCCCAATTCTTTCTGCCCCCAGGGCTCTCCATCCCTGCATTCCCAGACAGGTCCCTTCTGAGGGTCAGTGGCTCTGGGATGGGGGTAGAGTGGACACGTGGGCCTTAGGACATAAAGACACACAGGTGGAGGACACACAGCTGGGATATGGAGCCAAGCACTCTGTTCTCTGCATGTGAGAATGAACTTTCTGAGTCCCAACCTATAGAAGTAGTGAGCTCCCTGCTCTGGAGAGTTGTCAGGGCCAGCAGCTGCCCAGAAAGGAGTTCTGCCTAATGGGTCCCTTTCTCCTGGCTGGCTGCTGGGAACACAGATGTGGGATTTCTGGGCTGACAAGTCACCAGCCTGGGAGCAGGAAAGAAGGGCAGGCAGGTGGCCGAGAGGGGGCAGCAGAATCCAGGACAGCCCCTGGCTCAGGCCTGGGAGAAGCAGTGGCCACGGGCTGGGGTCTGGACCAGGGTGGGAACACACAGAGGGAGGCAAAGAAAGAAGGAATGGCAGAATCAGTGAAGAGAGACTGAGACAAGAAATGAAGTCAGTGATAGAGATGCACACAGAGAAAGACAAGGATGGTGATAGAGATATACACAGAGAAGCACAGATAAGGGATGGGGATGGAGATACAGAGATAAAGACACAGAAATGGGGGAAGGGGGAAGGAGAGAGAGAGACAAAAAAGAGAGATTGACAAAGCCCAGGAAGAGGAAGATACAAAGACAAGGATGGAAACGAGGAGAAATGGAAACAAAGGGAACAGACTGGGTAAGAGATAACAGATGGAGATGTACAGAGAGACAAAGATGGTATAGAGATATACAGAGAGATACAAAGACAGGGACCAGGACGAAGTCATATTCTGAGAATGGAATGGAAGAGGCAAACACAGGGTTCAGCAAGAAAAGGAGAGGACTATAGGAGTCTGGAGTTCTAAGAATGGGAATAGAGATCAGGTGGCCAAGGACCTCATAGAACACAACATAGAGAGGTTGTCCCCATCTCCAGTGCACCTTGGGGTAACATAAAGAACTAGTGGGCTGGAAGGCTGGCCTACTGTGCACATTGGCTCTGAGATCCAACCCTCTCATTCCCCCTGGCCCCTCAGTAGTGTTTTAATTTTCTGGGTTCTGTTCTAGCTCCAAGAACTGAAGTCTATTCTTATCCCAGGCTCTTCAGAACCGCCATGGGAAAGGAAGGTGGAGGGACAGTACTCAAGGGAGTCAGCAGTAGACAGCATCCAAGACCCTCCAAGGTGATCTTTGTGACGTAGAAGGACCAGGATTTGCAAGGAAGGATGGCCACCCCTAGGCCCAGTCTAGAGGCAGTGACAATGCCCAGCAGGGCTTGGGAGGGGGCTGGATTTCTCTTAGGGTTGTGGGCAGGGAGATACCCCAGTCCTCCCCTCCATCAGCCTCTAAGGCTCCAGCAGGCCCCCTCCCCTACTTTTGCTCCCTCCTCCCCAGGCTCCACATAATTGCTTTCCCATGTTGCTAATGGAGGCCAGATTGCTGATGCCCAAGCCCTGGGTGGGCGGTGGGTGGGTAAGGGATGACCAAGGTAGAAAGGCAGCAAAAGTCAGAGACCCTCTAACTTCCACCAACCCACTCCAGAAATACAATGTCCGTGGGCAAGACAGTTGCCAATCCCTTACTCTCTCTTCTGCTGGACCTGAAGTACAGGTTCTGCCCTGAGCCACACTACACAGGGACCAAACAGATAGGCAGAACTGGGAGTTCAGGGCACTTCTCAGAATGTCCATCCTGGGATCACTCTTTCTGTGAGTGAGGGGCCATACACTCCCACAGTTGGGACTATTCAGCTTGAAAGCTGCAGGTCTCACTGGTGACACATCTTTGCTTCACAAATTTCTCACCTGGAACACACTCTCTTCCAGCCTGGGGAGAGCCAGCCACCTTATTCTGCAGTCCCTCAGAGACTGTGCCTTGTTCAGGCCCAATCACTAGTGCTCTAGGCACTGTGAATCCCCCTCTTTCAGGGGAGCTAGATCTTAGCAGGCCTGGAGCAGCTAGAAGTCAAAGGAACCTTGGACCCCAGTTTAGGTACTGGAAGGGCATAGATCTGGACTAAAGACTGTCTATCCAGTAAATCAAAGCCCTTCCCCTCCTCAGCTCCACACTGAGTCCTAACTAATCTAATCCTGGGGGTCAACCTATACTCCGTAATTCCAGGCCTGAAGTACAAGTTCACCCCTAAGCACACAGGATCTGTGCTCTGAGACCTTGTGGCCTTGCTGAGCCCTAGGCCCAACCTGCTGACCCCTTTGGTCTGTTTCTATACACACACACACACACACACACACACACATGCACGCACGCGTGCCTGCCCAAAGGATGAGGCCTAGCCTCCCCACTATCTTCCATCTCCTCCTGGAAAGCAACTCTGGAAATGATCCTTGAGAGGCCTCTGGCCCAGCCAGGACTTCAGAAACTTACAGGACTGACCCAATACCCCAAATACCCCCGTGTGGGACCAGCCCCCACTGGGACCTGTTTCTTCCAAGTTTGCTCTGGGCTGCATACTCCAGGGAAGCCCAAATCCTGAGGCAGTAGAGAACACTGTGCCTAGATACATCTGCCTGAAAGCTGAACTGTCTCCCCATCTTCCCCAACCATCTTCCCTTTCCTCCTCCAGGCCTTCAGGGAAAGGGTCCTTGGAAGAGGAGTACCCTCCCAAAGTGGCTCTGTTCCAAGGACTCATGAAATGGTGGTGTTTAATGAGAACCCCCCCCACAACCTCCCACCCCTGTATATACATCTATAAAAAATTCAAATACAGCAAGTTACCATTGAGTCAGACTAGAAGGGACTGACAGGGCATTAAATACTGGGGGGTAGGATAGGGTCAGGGGAGGGTTGTACAAAACAGGGGCAGAGGTTAGGACTGAAAAGCGTGGGCACTGGGAGGAGGGGGATGGCTGGGCCCCCCCAGTGTCAGGAGCTTATAATCTGATGGTGGCAACAGAGACCCTGGGACAGACAGGAGGCTGGGGCAGGAGGAGAAAATATGGATGCGAGGGGCTCCCCTCAGGCCCCCCAAGGGCTCCTGGGAGTCGCTGGCGTTGGAGAGTCCAGCCCCAGGGGGCAAGGTAAGGGGGGAGGGTCTTTGGTGGGTGGGTTAGCTGCATGGTCCTCCTCCCCTGAGAGAAGGAGGGGGGGGTAGCTTGGTGTGGCAAGGCTAGGGGACGGCAGGCCCGGGCCCGCCGGGGTCTCTACAAATTGTGTCTGAAGAGAATGCAAAAGGTCCTCCTGCCCGTGTGCAAAATAGAAACCGGGGTCTGCAAGCTCAGTTCCGGCCTCCTGCTCCTCTGCAGGTGCTCTGGCATGTCCTCATGGGATGCCGGGCTCTGGGGAGACAGGGTATGGGGCTGTGAGGGATGAGACTGGGATGGGGGTCCCTCAGGCTCCCCCTCCTGCCCAGCCCCCCTCAACCTACCATATCAGGAGACTGCTGGCAGTGGTGGCAGCGGCAGCCAGGGCCAGAGTGACAGGGACACTGATCAAGAAGGGTACTGAGGGTCCTCCACCGCTGCCCAGCTCCTCAGGGTCACAGATCTTCGTGGTGGGTGGGGGTGCCAGGGAGCTGGTGGTGCTGGTCGTGGTCTCTAGGGAGCATGGGGGAAACTCAGGGCAGGGCCCAAGGCTAGGGTCCCACCTACATTTGGGAGTTCATGAAGAACACTGTTTCTGCTTATTGCATCAGACTGGTACTGCCTCCCCCAACAGACAGCCCTGTCTCCTTTCTTTCAAATGTGTCCTGCCTCCCCCATCAGGAAGATCCTGTTTCCTAAAGCTCATAATGATCCCTACACCCAGTAACCCTTATCAAGGATGTCTAGATAACAAGGACCAGGAACAGAGAGACTGGACAGACAGATGAGAGCCTAGCAACTACAGAGAGTATGGAGTAGAGGTTCCTATTCCTGGAAGGAGCTGAAGGGAACAGGAGAGGGCCAGGTGACAAGGCAGACCATGACAGCCACAGGGAGCAGAGGCAAAGGGCAGGCTCACCCGGGGCCTGGGCCTCAGTGGTGAGGTGTCGTGGTTCCTCAGTCCAGGGTGTGGCATGGGCAGCCACACTCCAGTCGCTCCATGTCCCAATCTCATTGTCCTTGGCTGCAACCTGAATGATGTACTCTTTCCCAGCGTAGGCATCTGTGATGGTGTGCGCTGTGCCATCTGACAGCTCCACCTGCAGCCAGACCATGGGATGGAGAGTAAGATCCCTCTGGAGGTCAGAGAGTGAGACACACCCAGAGGAAGCAAGGGCACCTCTGGGGAAAGGAGAGCAAAGGCACCCCTCGAGGGAATGAGGGCCTCCCCAAGGAAGAGGGGACACACTGAGCATATCCCTGTGGGAGAGTGAAGACATCTCAGGGAGGAGACCCTAAGGGACTTCAGCCTTGATGGACAGTACTGCAATCTTGAAGGAGACTGGAACATCTCAGGGGAAATCAGGATGATTTCCCTCAGTGGTTATGATGCTGCTATTGTTCCAACTCACAATCCCAGTGTGCCTGAACTCTGACCTCAGTCCTAGCCTGGGGGTACCAAGAGTAAGAGTAACAGAGAGAGAGAGCGCGCAGGGATGGTGCAGTGCCCTCCTCTTCTATCAGCAAGCAGCTGAAGCACACTGACACTGGGGGTAGGCTGCCTGAGTTCAAATTTTGGCTCCATCCCTTACTAGCTAGGTAATCAAGTTACTTAGCTCCCATGGCTTTGCAGCCCCATCTGTAAACTGGTGTTAATGATAGTATCTACCTCTTAGGGTTATAATGAGGATTAAGCAATGGGGAAAGTACCAAATGGACTTCAGCCAGCACTGCTGTGGGTTCCAGCACAGAGTCTGAGTTCCCAGATACCCAGTACATCCACCCGCCTGGCTGGGGCCTCCCCAAAGTGAAGGCCTTCACGTGGTTATCACACTGCCTAAGGCAGAAAAGGGTGGGGGCAGCTCTTGGGGGTGGCAGGACAGCTGCTCCATTTCTTCCTCAAGGCATTGCCACCCCACCCCAATGGCTGGCTCCATCCTGCTGGTCTCCCCCCACCCTCCAGGCTGCCCTGCCTGTCCAGCGCCCCTCCCAGGCCCAGGCTGGGCTCTGGTTCATCTCAGCGGCACCCGCCGCCTCATTAAGCCGCCTCGTAAACAGGGGCAGCCGGCGGGGGCGGAGGAGGGGGCCGCTCTGGGCCATGTCTGGCTTTAGGGCTCTTTTGGTCCCTGTTCTAATCTTCTCCCCCAGAAAACTGGGGTCTGGGCTACCTGACATGACAAGTTGTACAAGTTGACACATGTGCATGCATGTGTGTTTGTGTATTCATGCATGTGTAGTTAGATCCAAAGAGAATAGAAAGCCCTCTAATTTTTGCTGAGTCTTTGGCCTTCATGTGGGAGGCCCTGGTAAGGGTCAGGGTGACTCCTATTTCTGGCTCCCCAGTCTCTTTCTGCAAAGATCTCGGCTCGGTAGGCCCCTTCTCCCTCCTTCCTAGCCTGTAGACCACATCTTGTCTTTCCCCAAAGACAAAGCAGAGAACCAAGGTGAGCAAATCGAATTGCCACCTCACTGGTGGGCTTGTGGCACCATACCTCTAGGAATATTGCCCAGCAGCCAATGATCTCTTGGCAGTAACAGCCCCTAGGCTGGATGCTTTTTGCTAACTTGTCACTGACTCCTTAATCTACCCCCTTAAGACAGAGACTTCTCAATTGCAGGAACTCCCTACTCACTGCCATCCACCTTGCCTTGGAGTCCTCTACCAGCCAGCTACAGATGTCAGATGAATCCCCCAGGCCTCCTGGCTTAGTTAGGTCCTGAGCAGGTGATGCAAGGAACCCATGCTGGGTCCCAGTACTTGCCTCACCCTTGTCTATGCTGAGACAGCCCCTGATAGACCTCCTGGTCTCTATTCTTTTGCAATTCCTGGCCTCTATTTTCCTCCTAAAAATCCAAGTGATGTTTTTCTCTGCTTTCCTCTCTTAATCACACACCTGCCTCTCTCCAAGATCAAAGATAGTAGAGAACAGATTCTGTTCAGAGTGAAATTCAAGTTGTAAAGAGTCATAAATCTAACCAACCCCGATGTCTATGAGGCATGGTACAGGGCTAGGACGTGTCATGGGCCACACATGTTTTTTTGCCACAGAGCCTGCATATTTTCTCTGTCCAGGTCAGTGTGGCGGTCAGTCCTACACAACACAATGCATGGTCTTGGCATGTTAGTCCTGTGCATGCATGGAACATAGTTCCTGCTGAGAGCCACGTGTGTGTGTGCATGTTCCCGTGTGTGTGTGTGTGTGGTGGGCAGTGTGCCAGGTCCACTGTAAGGCGTGTGCGCAGCGACGCGCAGGGCTGCTGCCTGTAGCTCGTTAGCGGGGGAGGGGGGCTTGTGAAACTAGACCCTGGTTATTAGCAATGCATTAGGCGCGGGCAGCTGGCCAGGCGGGAGGGACTCCGGACTCTGTCAGGGAACACGTTAGCATGTGAGCAGCCTTTGTGGGGGCCAGGCCCATAACCTGGACAGGCACCCAGGAATCAAATTACGTACTTTAAAGACCAGACAGGAGGGGGGCATAAGGAGATGAAGCTGGAGCCTGGTAGAGACAGTAGGGGTACAGGCTGACCCTCAGGAGCCAGCCTGGCTTACCATATGAAGTACCCTCCCAACCTTGGTCCTAGACCACAGACCTCATGGGCCACATAGAATACCCTCAGCCTAATAGGTTCTGAGCTCTCAATATGAGAGGAACCCCAAGTCTGCCTAAGCCTCTGGCTGCTCCCCAGGACATGTCAACATAGCTTGATCAATATCCAGACCACAGTCTGACCCTATACTGACCCTTGTCCACCTCTTGGTTCCCAGCCCAGGCCACCACCTGACCTATACCCTTAAGCTGACCTCCAAGCTAGGTCTGACTTTGGAGTCCCTGAACCATGCTTGACCACAGTGCCTAGTCCTAACCCCGTAAGCCCATCTGTGAATCCTTGAGGACAGGGACTATCCTACCTTCTTGAGTCCAGCATGCCCAGAGGCTAGGCCAGAGTATAAAGGGAGATGCCTGGTCAGGTCCAACAGCAAGAGGTAAGGAGAGGTAAATACTGCTCACCCCACCTGCCAGTTCCCTTCCAGCACTTCTCTCCACTACCACGGGAGCCACAAAAACCAGATGTGTTCCTACTGCACTGATGTGGGCATAAATGGGATCCCGAAAGGGCACCTCCCTTAGCACCATCCATTCTCCCAGGCCTCCTCCTCCCCTGAAAAGCCTCCCTTAGCACCATCCATTCTCCCAGGTCCCTCCTCCCCTGAAAAGCCTCTCTGACTGTTACCGGGTCCCATATTGGAGCTGCTACCATTGGGGCATGGGTACCTCTCATGCTTTGTGGCTCTGATTCAGGCACCCAGTATCTGGGCTGGGCAGGGCACTCACATGCTGCCACTGGTCCAGGATGAGGGGTCGGTAGCGCAGAAAGAATTTGAGAGGAAAGGACTCAGGATCAGGCCAAGTTGAGGGGGTCTGCCATGTCACCTCCAGTCGGCGAGGGTTGCTGGGCACTGGCCGGGCTACAACGTTTTCTGGAGGATCAGGCTTCACTGTTTAGGAGACATAGCTTCATTAGTGTACTAATCTCTGAAAACAAACCCCGGTTGTCAAACCCGGCCACCATGTCGACTTTTCCTATTGCTAACCATTGTCACCATCATCATGGTAACCATCCCTCTTCTCTGTTGTTAGTTCTGGCAAGCACAAGTAACAAACATCTTATTACTTCCACCACATCTCTGACATCCCCACCATCACCAATGAGTTATTACAGTCAGGGTCGCCAGCAATTTGTATCAACATTCCAAATTTCATCCCATCATCTCAACCCCATCCTCATACTGACCAGCAATCCAATGACAAAGCCTGTGTGATGCCTCCACTATGAACACTATCACAACCCTCATCACCTGGTCCACCCCTCCTACATTAGCATCACACCCTCCCCGAAGCCTGGTTTTCCCTCAGATTTTCCAGTTCCAAACTGAGACTTGACCTCCCTTGGAAGTCTGAGTTTAAAGCTTCTCTGTGGGTCAAGGTTAAAAGACAGTCCATAGGTCTTGCAGACTTAGGAGAATCTGATGGGAGCACATATGGGTCCGGTTCATGCAGAAATAATCTGGGTGGGAATACAACCATGGAGTTTGGGGGAAAGGCAAGGCAGGTGAGGCAACTGGTGAAGATGGAGCAGAGGAAGGCAGAGGGTGTACCTAGAATGGAGCAGAGACTAGCTGGGATGGGAAAGGAGGTAGCAGAGAGTCTGGCTGGGATGGGGATGGGGTAGAAGCAGACAAAGCCTGCCTGGAATAGGGCAGGGGCAGGCAGAAGGCCTGGCTGGGTTGGGGGGGACGGGTTGGGGAGAGGGCGGTATCTGTCCCAGTCCTGTCTCCTGTTCTGACACCTCATTCATCACAGGCCGTAAGGAAGCCATTAGCATGGAGGTGGGGAGGGGGGTGGAGGCTGCAGCTGTGCAAGGGTCTGGCCCAGCCTGTTCCCCCTTCCTCCTGCTGCATGCTCTGGGAGCCAGAGAGATGGTGGAAAGTGCTGCTGGAGAGCTCTTGACCCCACAGACAAAGGACATTCACTTGCATGGTCACAGGTGCATGCCATGCCATGCACACACATGCACATGCATGTATATGTCACACATACTGGTGCACAGGCATGTGGCAGATACATACGTTCACACTCTGAACTCCCCACCAATGCTCATGTATATCTCTTAACACACTTCCACTTCCACACTCCCAGTGGAGTGTGCAGTAAGGAACCCCTCTCCCAGTCACACGCACCAATGGTGAACTCGTCGAAGGTGATAGCCGTGGCGTTGTGACCCAGGGCATTGCTGACACTTATGGAGACCTTGTACTTGATGGTAGAGAACAGGTGCATGTATCGGATATGGCAGCGGTTCTTGAGGGCCGGGTCCTTCTCACAGACCATAATTTTGGAGCCATGCCTGGGGAGGGATGAGACCCAGGTAGTATTACCAACATCAAGGGTCACATGGGGGCAGGTTGGAGGAAGGTCAAGCCCAAAGATGGGCTTGGGTCTGGACTCAGGGCACTGATGGGGAGCCAGGGGAGGTCAAAGGTCAGGGCTGGAACCAGGACATAGGTGCAGCTACTCACAGCACGGTCACATTGAAGGTGTTGGGGATGTAGGTAGGGGTAGGCAGATGCCAGCTGCAGTAGAAGCCTTTGGGGTAAGTGTTGGAACGGCAGCTGAGCACAGGTTCCCTCGGCGGCACTGGAGGTGAGGATAACAAGGTCAGGGCCTTCTTGGAGCCCCCAGTCCCCTACACTAGTGTGGGGACAGGTGGGCCCCAGAGCCCCAGCTCTCCCCCCTCAACCCATCATCGATGCCAAAGATGAGGGAGTGGGGGCTGTCAGCGAGGGCCTGAGGCTTCCCAGGCCACAGAGAGCCAGATGTTTAATTAAAGAAAAACAAGGGCTGTATGGAGGAACAACCCTCCCCCCACCTGCTCAATGGAGGCAGGAACTGTGGGGAGTAAGGGGCTGCGGGCCTCAGCTCATCAATCACAGGATGGAGGTGATGTCTGAGGGAACTGGTCCCAGCCGTCATCTCTTGCCACACTGTGTCCACTCCCAGAAGAAGACAGTGCAACATAGACTGAAAAGGGTCTCGAATGAGTCCTCTGGTTGCTAGGGTGATCAAGTGCTCTTTCTAGGGAAGAGACACCCTAGGTTTCCCCTCAGTAGAGACTGAGACACAAGTACAGGCCTAGTGGCTACACTGGAGCAGCTGCACTAAACGGGTAGTCATACGCCTATCTGTGTGCATAGGTGTCCTCCATGTACGTTTCATGCATGGCTCTTATGTTTCATTAAAGAAAAACAAGGGCTGTGACATGGAGGAGCATCTATCTGGATGTGCCTGGATATGTATGTGTCCGTCTGAATGCATGCCCATGTATGATTGTGTGGAAGGAAGCTGCTGTTTGTCCCTTTGCTGTGTTCCCTGGCCCCTAGCCCTCAGTACCTCCATCATAAATCCATTAAGAAGACTATGACATGGTCAGCAGCTGCCTTCACTATGGAATAAAAAGGCCCATAGAGGGATAGGGACCTACAAACCAAATCTGGCAATAAACCCCAGAATGGAGTTATCCACCTACATGACCACAGTTGGTAAGTCCTTTCTGCTGTCTAACCACATTTTGCTGCTGTGAGCACTTAGCCCAGCTGTCCTGCCCTCAGGCACTGGGCAAGGCGTGAGGACAGGCGGCTCAAATTCCTGGAAGGAGGCAACTTCTGTGATCTGACCCAGGCAAGGAATGTCCGTCTGTGGCTCCAGGGACACTGACACCTCCTTTCTGTACCCCCCCCACCCCCTGCCTGACAGGTGGACAGGAAATGGGAGGGGGCAGCTCAATAAGCCAGGGATGGGTGAAGGGGAATGCATGTCTGTGCTTGTACAGTGGCCATGGTGACCAACTGTGGGCTTTCATCCACTGTACGTTTGATTTTTGAGTGACTGACTGTGTACACATCTACTGTGTCCAGTATGTGTGAAGAGGTGGAGGGGTGGGGGAGCCTGGAGCATAACCCCCAGAGCCCAGATCTGGCTTTGCGGCAGAAGAGGGGCAGAGGCATCAGGAGCACTGCCATGCAGCAGGTGGAACTGCAATGCTGCCGGCAGAGGCAGCTCTACCCTTGGCCTGCAGGGGAGAGCCAGACACCAGCGGAGACCCCACAAGAGCCACCCTGCATTCTGTTCACTGCTGCCTGCCTTCTCAGGAAGCTTTTCTACTCTGTGTCCACCTGTATCTGCTCCATGTTCATCTGTGTGCGTTTAGTGTCCCTTCCCTGTCTGCCCATGGGTATAGAGCTCTGCATGGGGGAGGGGTGGGAAGTGGCCAAGGACACAGGAAGTACCTTCTGGGGGCCTGTGGGCCAGGCCAGAGTTGGCAGCCACTCCAGAAGGAAAGGACATTCCGAGGTCGGCCGAGAAGCCTCCACTCCCCCCTCCTACCACCACCTCCCCGCTTTACCCCCAGCTTCAAAGGAGAAGGGCACACTGCGGGGGAGGGGGATGTGAAACTGCAGAGTCAGCTCCCCTGCTGCCCGCCTGCGACTCCGGAGGGCAGAGCAGGCCATGGCACTGGACTCACAGGCCCCCCTCCCTGGGCCAGCCTGCCCACTGACCAGTATATTTTATTTCCCTTCTGACTGTCCTCCCCTTTCAGACCAGGCTCCTCTTCAAACCTCCCCCTTCAAACCAGGTTCCCCTCTCTGACTGGGAAGGTCACAGGGGGCCAGGGTGGGGGGGGGGCCGGGTAGGGGCTTTGTCTGTCATTTGGCTACTCTTGCCTGGCTCTGGGCCCTGAGCAGGGAAGGGCTTGGGTTTCCTGACAGGGACCAGGTTTCTCAGAGGGAAAAGGAGGAAAGAAAAACAAAGAAAAGGAAGAAAAGGAGTGACTTGCTGCAGCTGGAGCCCAGCTGAGGGGCCGGGTGGGCGGAGATGGGGGTGCTGTGAGAGACCAAGTGTGAGATTGTGGGACAGTGTGGGATTGGAAGGCCTGTTGTGAGTTGGGGGAAAAGCTGTTTTTAAGACACTGCTTGTGAAGCATTGTGTGTAACTCTTCAAAGAGGCTTCACGTGTGAGGCTCTGGCCAGCCATGTAACTAAGACTGGCGGCTGTGTGGGACTGTATGACTGTTTTGTTTAACTTGGGGTTGGATTGGAGGCTATCTATATGTGTGAGGTTGTGTTGCCCAGGTCCTCTGTAAGAGTGCTGATGTGTCATTGTGTCTGAAACACAGTGACAGCTACGCTACACACAAGACACAGGATATGTGACAGAGCCTGAGTATATTTTTCAAACTGGGTGTGGGAAGATGCCCTGAATTTCCAGCATGTCCACATGTATAAGCTGGACACTGTGAGAGCATGTTACAGGGACTGTGTGAGCAAAAACTCCTACAAATACATACCACAATACAGGCATAATCCTAGATGCCCAGGCATCCTGCGTGTCCCCTCGTGGGGGTTCCTGAGATGCCTGGGTGACTGCGTCAGCTGTGGCAGGGTGTCCCTGAGTCGCATGCATGGCTGTGTGTGAATGTGCATGTGTGCGTGTGCCCCCACTGGCCTGAAGTTTGTTTGTTTTCTTCCTAATTGGCTTGTTTTTCCATGTCCAGCCCACCAAACCGCATGTTTTTCCTTTCATCTCGCCAGCCCGCTTGGGCCGGAGCCCCCGGCACGCATAAGGCCTGCCCGCCGGCCCAGAGAGAAGGAGGGGCAGGCTGCCCACACCCTGGGACAGGCCAGATCAGGCCAGGGCAAGGCAGCATGACCCTTCCGCTCCAGCCCTGCCCACACCACACCCACACTCCTCCTCCTGCCTGGCACTTGAAGCCCATGGTTTGTCTCAACCTTATCTTGTGATATTCCTTGAGGCATCCCAAATTCTGGACTCTCAAATATCTCCTCCTGCCTCCCACTCACAATTTCTCCCGATATCTTCAATCTTTCCCCATCACTCTTTACTTCCCAGTCAAACAAGGCTAAAGGGAAGGAGTGCTGAACCAGGGGGTATGAAGTTTCTCTCATGACTACTCTTAAAAATTAAATGGAGAAGGAACTGTCCATTTAAAAATTATTTTAATCTCTGGTTTGTTTTAGTTTAAAATCAGAATGATACTGAATCAGCAGTATCTAGTAAAGTAAACAAAAGGATGCTACTAAAAGGAACACTGTAATCTTGTTTCCTAAGGTGGGAGGTCCTTTCATCATCCTCAGTAGGAGAGTCCTTAGAGCTGTGTGGGGATCTACCTAAAGGCAGGAAGGTGGATAGGGAGAAAATAGTTCAGACAGGCCTGGTTAAGGAGTCTTCTAACAGAACACCATTATGACCAGGATCCCTTGAAAACAGACATAAAAGAATTACATATTTAGCATAAATATTAAATAATTTGGGATCTGAATGACCCACAAATCAGAAGTAATTTTATCCTGTTCTTTGACAGCTGGTAAGAAGGACAATTTGATATTGAGTGTTGCCAAACCTAGTCTCTTGTTACTAATATAAAGTGACTGAGATGATCATGATTAATATCCCCTGTTCCTCTGACCAAGTCTTTAGGAGGAAATAAGGCAGTAAGAGATAAGTACCTGTTATGAATGCTACAGCCAATTCATGGCCAGCCCTCCCATGAAAAGTGAGGCCTAGGGAGCAGTGAGCACTGTATCTAAGTGGTCTAAGCTCTGGTCACAACAGGGCAGCTGTGGGCATGTCCTGTTGGAGGTAAGGACTATGGACATTCGTCAAGACCCAATTCCACTCTCCCCCCTCCCTCCCCACCAATGACCTCTCAAAGAAGATCCAAGCACCAGCTCCATCCTGGAACTTTTGGGAGCCTGACAAGACAGAGATGTGAGTGACTGGTGTTTGAGGTAACCTCATCCTTCTTCTGTGACACTCAGTAAACAGCCTTTTCTGTGTAAGGTCCTGGGGTGTGGCTGAGTGCTCCACTGCTGATGGACCCTCATGGTGGGCCAGGGAAGATTGTTAGGCTGGTCCTGCATTTCTCAATATGGCCAACAGGGGTCACTCCACCCTTGGCTTGCAACTAAAACTTTTGATTTGAATGCCATCTCTTCAATTGAAACACGTTTTAAAAAAGCTTTTCCACTGGAAAGGTACATCCCTGCCAAAATCTATTTTCCCACCTCATTAAGCCCTACTTGTGGGTTAATTTTTTTATGGGGGACCCTGAACAACTCTTCAGACTAACATTTCACATGGTTGTCCATACAAGTGTCCTGACCAATGGGCAAGGACCTGTTCCTAGATACGCTAGGTGTCTCCTAGACACCCTAGGTGTCTCCTAGACAGCTTCTAGTGAATAAAGGAACTATCTTCAGGCTGTGGGGTAAATCACACCCAAATTGGACCAAGCCAGAGGAACTTCAATCTTTGGCTCAGGAGAAAAGAAATGGAGGGTTCTCAGAGCTTTCACCCTGTTGGTAGGTGCCTCCAGTAACACTGATAACTTCATCATTATGCCTTCTCAAACCCCTTTTCCAAATCACACTCACCTGATCCCTCTACCTTCCTGCTGGCTCCTTCTCTCTTTTGGTGACTTATTTCTCTTCATCAACCCCTTACGTGCTGATGGTCTTCAGGGTTCAATTCTGGGTCCTCCTCTTACCCCACAATCTCTCCTTTGCCTGTCTAACCCCCTTAGCCACAGCCTTAATGCTAACAACCACCTAAATTTCCATCTCCAGAACAGGCCTGTCCCTGAGCCTAAGATCTTCTAATCCATGGTTATCTGCCACCAACTCTGGGTTGTCCCCCAAGGACCCCGTCTCAACATGACTGTAGCAGATCTCTTGCCCACACCATTTCCCACACTGCCAACTTCTGCACTTATTTTACCTAAGAGATTTCTCTGGCCACTGAAACTGCTTTCCCTGCTGGGGCATCAGGCCAAAAGTTCTGGGGAATTAAGGCACCCTCCCCCCAGGGCAAGAGAATCCCTCCACCAATGATAGCATGAGTGAGTGTATAAACATCCCAGCTCCCTCACCCTTCTGAGGTAAGCATTCTGTATCAGCACCCAGAGATCTTTCAGTGGTGGGTCTAGTACCAAGAAGCAAGGTCTTGATAACTCATTCCTCATTAGCTAACTTTTTTTCTGTGTCACTTTCCCATTTCTTTATGGGGGGTTTTCATCACCTGCCAAATAAACTACTTGCCTACAAATTCTCATCTTGGGATTGGATTCTAGGGAAATCCAAAACCAGCCACTAAACAAACAACACACTCTCTTTTCCTCCCATTATTCCTTGAGTTGTGACCATACCTCCAGCCCTCTTGACCCCTCCTACTCCTACTCTTCCTATTCTCCAATCCTTTACCCAGCTCCTGGAGGCCCAACACCCCCAGCCTCCCCAGCTCCATGCCAGATTCTTACTATCTCTCCTGTATCCTACTACAGCCTCATTCCTGCCTTGACTTTGCCCCATTCAACCTCCCTCTCTTCACTGCAGTGACAGCCATCCTGTAAGAACCTGATTCAGACCATGTCACTCTCCAGCTTTCAGGATGATGACCTGGGCCCTGCCCCTTCCCTCAGCTCCCTCCCAACATTGATGCCAACCTAACTGGCCTTTGAGGCCTAGAGTGGTATTCAGCTCTCTGTCAGATATGATGTTTCAATACATCTTCTAAATCGTCTATGTCTCCATTTGCCTCCTATTCCAGGAAGCCTTCCTTTTTCCCTGGGGCTTTCCAGTGTTCCTGCTTGTAACTGCATAACTATCTATCCCATTTCCCTCCCACAGGCCCTTTGGCCAGCCCCAGAGGGAGCAGACACAGTGAGGCCACTCCAGCTCATAGCTGTGACCTTAGAATATTCCCCACCCAGGCCCTACATGGTCCAGACCTTACCAGCACTCCTCTGCCCACTTTGTCATGGGGAACAGGATTTAAGGATCTCAAAGGCCTCCACGGGGGTGGGATGTACAGGCAAAATGTCCAGGGGTCTCCCCTGCCCCCTAACAGGAAGGGCACTTGATCTGGGTCTCAGGAAAGTTGGGAGGTCAGATATGGGGTTGGGGGCAACACTTACAGCCCACATGTAGCAGGATTTGGTGGCGCAGGTGCCAGGAGTCACGGTGGAAGCAGGCATAGAGGCCACTGTGGCCCAATTCCAGGCCACGGAGCACCAGCTGAGAGCCGTTGAGCAGGTCAGGGGCCAGATCTGTCCCATTAACCCGCCATGTCACAGCTGCATCCCAGTTTGCTGTTCCACATGGCAATGTCACATCTGAACCCAGGCGCTCGTACTGCACATGGGGTGCCTCTGGGCGGCAAAGAGGGCACAGGACAAAATTCACAGTCACAGCTTATACATGAGGGTAAAAGCTTATACACGAGGGCTGGGGATATGGCTCAAGTGGTAGAGCACCTGCCTAGCAAGTGCAAGATCCTGAGTTCAAGCCCTAGTACTGGGGGGGGAGGGGGGCAGAAATATATATATATATGTAGGCGAGACTCTGTGAGAGTACACCAGTGACAGTCATCAAGATGTTCGGTGTCTGACCATAAGAGTGAAATATATATATATATGTAGGCGAGACTCTGTGAGAGTACACCAGTGACAGTCATCAAGATGTTCGGTGTCTGACCATAAGAGTGTCTCGGAGAGATGGGGTGTGTGTAAAACTTCTCTGTGGCTGTATAAAAATGAAGATATGTGAGTGTCTCCATTTTTGTATGTGTATGCATGTACAGGGACTGTGTATAGTGTATGTGTTTATGTCTGACAGAAAGCGGGACTTTGTGTAGTGCACGGAAGGGTCTATTAGTGAAAATCCGGTTTACTTCCACTCTGGGTCCTCCTAGTCCCTGAGTCCTTTATAAAGTTTCTTCACCCCTATGACCTCTCGCCCAGCCCATCACTGACATCCATTATCCAGGCAAACTGGAGCCAAGGGGAACCACTCCTGGACTTCCTTCTCTGTCTCTCATTCTTATCTTTCCGTGTTCTCTCCCCCTCCCCACCCTGCCCCTTCTCTCCCTCTCCCAACTGAACTGTGCTACTTCCCACAAGCTCTGCCCCACCTCGCCCATCATCCAAGCTTGGGCACCAGAAGAAGAAGACTGTGCAGGCCTTGAAGTGAACCCTAGGGAACCCCTGGCAACTGTCAACTTTGTGAGGCAGAAACTGCTTGGCGGGAGGGGGGACAGAGGAGATACAGGATCAAGTGAGCACTCTGACCATTCCTCTCCTGTCCCCAGGAGGGGCCTGTCAGAGCCAAAAGCAAACCCTAGCCCTGGCCTCAGCAACCCAGGCGTGATGAACTGAACCCAGGAGACTGGAGATGGAAGGGTGGAAGGGAGCACCTGTCCAGAGGCAGCGCCAGGTGGGGGAGGCAGGGAGCAGGACAGAGAAAGTCAGAGAGGTGGATTCATAGATAGCAGTAGAGAGGCAGGCATGCAGAGAAGGGAGATCAAGATCTTAAAGATCTTAGGACACCCCCACCCCACACTTCTCATCCTGCCCCCTGAGCCTGGAAGGACAGATGCTTCCCTTGTCCAGGCCAGATCTGTAGAGTGGGGGTGGGAGGGGAGAAGGGAGGGGGAAGGTGCAGCAGGGGTTGGGGGGGGCCTGTGGGATCCCTCGTTAACACTCACTCACATCTCCCCTCCAGAAAGCCACCCCGCTGAGTTGGGGGATTTTCAGAGGCAATTCCTGTTAACGAGCCAATTAAGTTGGGCCAGTGGCCTCTTAATTAGACTTGTTAACACCACCAGGACTAGGGGGGAACAAGGATCTCCCTGGGCCCCCCAGCTTCCCTTCCCCCTCAGCGCAGCCCCCTCCCCAGGACTGCCTTTCTCTGTGCTGGAACATCTGTCCCTGTTTGCTGCCTCTGTCATCCTCCCTAAGCCAGGGTGTCTGTGTCTCCAGGTCTCTCTCCCTCTCTGCCTGTCTCTGTCTTGCCCCTCTTTGAGCCTCTCTGTCCTTGTCAGCAGAGAGGAAGCAGGAAACTCAGCCAGCCCTGACCACTCATTTGCGGGGCTTGGGACCAGCCGAACTGAGGATGGGCGGAAGGGCGGTGGCTGGGGGCCTTGGAGGCCACAGCTGTGAGGCTGAACCAAAAACTGAATGGGGGCCTCCCCTGACCACAGGTCCAGTGTCCAAGACTCAGGCCATTGAGTCCCCCCCACCCTGGTCCACCAGCTCCAGCCACTGAGCCCCCTTCCAGTCTCCCTTCCAAAAACCTGGAGCTTCCAGGAAACATGCCAAGCCCCTCTCTCTGCATCCCCCCCAGCAGAGACTTTATATCCAGCTGTCTGAGGAAGAGGCTGAAAACTGACCGTTGGAGAGGGGGCGTGGCCATCAGGGTCCCAGTTGCAACACATTAACACTGACCAACAGCAACTCAGAACTAAGGTGGACCCAGTATGGCCTTTTAGCAGTGGGAGGCAGGTACAGCTACAAGATGAGGAAACAGCAACCTAACAACACAACAAATACAATGGCAGCAGAATAACACCACCTGACCACATTTTGTTAGCCTTGAAAAAGAAATGGAAACAACCTGACAGTAATGAAGAACCAAGGATGGAAGGGCAGAACAGGGAGAAAAAAATGACAACACAATGACAGAAGACAACTACAGGCCCCAATGCAGAGGCAGAAGTAGCAACATAACACAAAATCACAGTATCACAACAGCTAAAATAACATAAGAATGACAATACACACAGCCATACAACAGCTTCAAAGATGGCAATGGTTTAATCCTTTGTCTCTGTGGACAGCTCTCCTCCCGCCCCGTGGGTGCCCCTACTGATGTGCTGTCCATTTCAGAAATTAAATCAAGCAGCAGGGGGAGGATGGGGTTCTTGGCCCTGACACGGGCGACAAATGCTCCAAAGGAATCAGCTGTGAAAAGGTTGTTAGAAGCCAGGATGGGGGGTGGAGAGAGAGAGAGAGAGAGAGAGAGAGAGAGAGAGACAGGATGAGGTCATGGACATGGAGAACACAGAGGGACAGAGCTGACAGCTCCCTCACACCTGTGCACACAGGCTCACATGGGGACCACATGCCGGAAACATTCCCCCTGGGCGTCCTAAGCAACTTCACATGATCACACACACAGGATGAGGACAGTCGTCCATAAAGAAGAAGCAAACATAGGACAGTCATCCATCTACAGTCATACAGATACATTCTCCCTCTTCAGGGATGGTAATACCTGATATAAGATCACAGGCATGCACAAGAAAGCCACCTCCACCCAAAGGCACAGTTATACATGGGGAGGACATGGTATCACACATGGGCAGACGGTTCGACAGGGACACAAACACACAAAGAGAAAAGGAGATACCTATCATACATGGGGTACTGGGGTACAATATCGAACATAAAGACACAGCCCCTAAAAGGGCACAACCAACCAACCAGACAATATCATACTCAAATCACAGCCTACAAGGATACAGCCACATGGAAAAACCCCCTCAAACAGGGACATGTTTTCCCTACAAAAGAAACCAGTTTCACACACTTACAGATGTGGCCTTATGTCAGGGCCTTGGCCATATGCAGCACTATCTTTATACACAGGTAGAGACCTTTGCACACAATGGTAGATACTACAGGCAGACCCTGGGTAGGTCCAATCAGCAGTCCTGGGGCCAGCCAGGGTCTCTCTGGACATCAGTGATCTCATAAGGAAAGGGCCACAGAAGTCTCAACCCAGTGCCCTCCTAAACCCATGCCTTGAGGGTGGCAGAAGTCAGCCATCAGGATTTGCTCCACACCTAGGTCCTGGAAATGTCCCCCACCCTTCCTGCTTCTACCACTCCAGCCAAGGTGGACATGTTAAAGGGGACAGGACCCAACAAATGGGGGAGCTTAGGGAGCCTCATTCAAGGCAAGTTCCAAGTTCAGAACTTGTATGATGTAGCCTTTGAGAAGCTGCCTCAAATGCAGTGGAGAGGCTGATGGTCATGGGTAGGCTATGGGAAGCTCTCAGCCCTCACTGGACAAACAGGCTGGAGAAGGGAGGGAAGGCTGCCAATAGCCCATCCCCTGAATAGTCCCTCCCCCTTCTAGCCATTGCAGCTGACTGGGCTCCATCCTTAGTACACCAGCCCTCTCTCACCTACCTCCATGCCTGTCCCATTAACTGAACCAATTTTCCTCTTAGGATAAGGCTGAGGATAGAAAGTGACCAAAGTCTTGCCCATTGTCTCCTACAAGTATCCGCAATTGCATCCCCACAGACATGCTGAAGATCACCCTTTTGAACAAATACTGTACATGGGTCCTGCCCCTAGATACACTCCAACCTCCTATCCCACCTGTCTGTACTCTATACCATCCCTAAGTCTCTGGGTGTAGACAACAGCAGCAGCAGCAGCAAGCACAGCACAGCAGGCCCATGGGACAGGAGCAGCCATCTGTTGGGAGAAATGGTGGGGGAAGAGGTAGCATCAGCCCAGGCAGGAACTTCCTGGGGAGACCCCCTCTTTGCAGGCAAGACTGGGAAATCCCAGCCCCAGGGCCAGGACACCTTGACCCCAAACACCCTTCTTAATGGAGCTCAGGATCCTCTTTTAAGCAATGGAAAGCAATGTTACTGGCATCTGTAGGCAAAGGTTTACTAAGATGGCAGAAGACAACCTATAATGGTTTATTGTTCAATATGACTGCTGGCTACAAAACATAGTCAACCATGGATGAATTATAGAACACTGGTAATGCCAGGGTCATTATTTCTAATATATATATATGTATATATATATATATATATACATATATATATATATTTATATATATATACATATACATATATATGTATATGTATATATATATATATATATATATATATACACATATACATACATATATAACGTTACTGGTGAGGCTGGCTAATTAGTTATAAGCATCACAAACTGAAGGGGTAATGTTTTAATTTAATTGAAGGTCTGTACTTTTCCAAATTGCCTTAACTGTAAGGTACCCTGCAGTGTTTGTGGGGAGAAAGCTTAAAAACCTAGATGCTCAGAAGCCCCTTAGATCTGTTGTTGCTCCCTGCTCACCCTGCCATGAGCCTGGCCACTAGGCTCTGGGAAACATTGGGCACCAGGGTACCGGAGCAGTGGTACATGAGCCAGGTCAGATGCTGCTTTTGCTTTATTGTACACCAGTGATCAAGAGAAAATGAGGAATTTTCATATCTAAGTCCCGTCAGGGACCCCAGGCCACCCTTCACTGTAGAAGCCTGGTACTCCACTCCAGATGTGTGTCAGTGTCTACATGCACCCACGTACACAAGTATACTC